TCGTGTTTCAGTTTTTGGTGGAGCTCTACATGCAACCAAGACGTTAAAAGGGGCTCAGATTTTAACGTTTTGACCACCCTGAGTGGATGAGTGATGCACGATGAACCGAGGAGAATCGAAACTCATAGCACCATGTTACTTCGTTGTTAGCTATGTGGACACTACAAATACGTATAAATAACGAAATGAGAAATTGCTCCTCGATAACAGATGAAAACAAAAGCAACAACGGCAATGTCTAGTTTTAAACGTAGTTCCTCACTTATTCGTAGCATATTTTCTGTGTATTTTACCCTTTGTTAACTACAGTTTATTAATCGTAACTTACATGACTAGGGAAACTAACATGCAAATTTGTGCAGCATTTTTCTAAGTAATGTAAATTTATGGCTTACGCTTTCCATTCCGTTTACATTTCATTTAGTTTTTGCTAGTTTTCTGATTTTGTTATCGTTTTGTTTTTTTGTTTGTTTGGGAAGAAACCTTTCGAAATACATACACTTATTCAATATACACACATTTAGTTACATAATCTGCTCGGAAACAGAAGTTGGAGTCGGTGAATCGAGGGAACGAATTCAATGCAAGTGAGAGAGCGTAATTGTAGTGGAAGACTTCCGCTTAAAATGTAGGTAGATTTAATTTATGCCCATTTATTCCGTCGATTTCCGAAATTTGATTTTATTCCGCTTGATTTGATATACACATGAATACTCGCAGATTGTACACATGTTCTCGGTTCCATGACGAATCGCTATGGTTTGCTCATTATCTGGTGGTATTTTTGTTTTGCTCATATTTTATCTACGCACAACTAGGTGGAACAGACACATTTGAGAATATGAGTTAAAATTTTTGCTATGCATATGTCGTACGATACAATTAAATGAGTAAACGTTTCTATTTATCGGCAACTATAAATTATGCTAAATATATCTGAACTATTTGAATACCCGCGGTTTGCGTTTATCTAATTTCAAAATTCAACTTTAATATATATATATATCTGTTTGTTTTTTTATATAAATATTTGTGTCTAGTTTACAATTAGCAAAAAGTTTAAGTTTAAATATTGAAATACGTTTAAGTTACTTGCGATTTGTTTGGTTTTTGTGTTTTATAATGAAATAATTTCATTAAACGTTTCAGTCATTGTATTTTTTTTCGTTTTGAAGAACGTGCCTCAAAACTTGAACTTAGATGGTCGCATGGCTTATCTAATGGCAAACAAATAAATTCCTTTGCTCTTCGTTTCTAAACCTGAACACAGGCATTGGATTTGCTTAGTTTTGGGCGGCAATTTCAGACATGCAAAAGGAGAGGGAGGAAAAAGCGTAAAGCATACGACCCGTTGAACCGAACCAGCACAACCATCTCAACTTTTCCAATTAATCAACGGGGGGCGCATTTTAATGGCCGCTGAAGCTGTCGTCATTGCCTCATAAATATTCATGCTGTCAATGCGCATAAATACCTAAGTGCATATTTATGGTCCAACATTTGTCGTTATGAGTTTTACATTTATGGCTTTTATACTTTATTAATTAATATGCAGGCTAGCAAGCGGCGTTTTCGTAATTCATGCCTCTGCAGCCTAATGGTCACGATAATTGCTCCAGGAGCGTCCAAAAAATGTATACACATAAATATAGTTATATCACAGACCCGCCGAAAATTTCGGGTGCCACTGAAGCGCTCATGCGTTTTCGGCAACAATGCAATTTTCTCTGTATGCACTCTTCACGTGTTTATCATGTGGGAGCCTCATAAACGAAAGTGAATGCCGTTTTATTGATGGCTTTGATGCTTTTATTCGCACTCATTTGTGTTTAAGTGTTATTTATTTGCTTTTTCTGAAAGCATTCGTAATTATGAGTCGCGCGCTTGGCCGTTTGGTACGCATAAATAAGCCTTTGTCTGCATGATAGATAGTAATTGCCGAAAAATGCATTAAAATATTTACCAACAGTTGCAAAACATTAAAAAAAACTCTGCAGCTGCACACAAAAATTAATTTGAAAAACCTTTGCCTGACTATCCGATTTACTATAAATTCGCCTGCAATTTGCCGAGTTAATCAGGCATTAAATTGGCTTATGGCGTCGAAATAGATGTTGACAGAAATGCAAATTCTAATTTACACATTTTGCGCTATAAATAATTAAATTTCCCGAGCGAACTTTCGGCCCCTTTCGGTTGGAATTAAAATGTTACAAAAAATAATGAAACAATAAGAGTGCAGTAATCTAAAATGTTTTTATGTAATTATTGTAAATATTTTACGCTAAATTTTGTTATTTGCTTGTTTTCGGGCAACTCCCTTGTTGACTTAAAACAATTGAGGCAAACAAGGCAAAAAATTTGCATTCCAAACCAAATCTCATAATTAAATTATGGGAATTAATGTAAATAGCTCTGCATTATTCAAAATGTTTTTCATCTCATTTTTTTTCCTTTTGTTTGTATTTTTTTTGTATTCTACTTTGCAATGATAAATTTTAGACGGTTGTCGAGGAAGTTATTTATGGTGATTGCTAATTGTGACGTTAATTGCAATTTTATTAATGGGCCTTAGTAAAGACCGCAAAAGTAGCTCCCCCAAAAAAGGGACACAAAGGACGGCGTTGCGTATACGCCGGGTGTTCTAAAACGCCTGGCAGCTTTTTACGCTTTAAGTGAAAATGACTTTCAGTGTGCCAGGCAAAACAATGCCATCCGTGGAATGCCGTTCGACACTCATCTGGCTGTCGCACCTAAGTGCAGTTAAGTGCTGTGTGTGTATGGGGTATATTTGTGCTTGCATTGAGAGAAATAAACATTTTTCCAAAAAGTTTACCCCTTTATTTTCCTGAAGGGGACCAACTAAAGTTTTAGAGCGACGGTTTGGTTTTGTTAAATCAGTTTTTTTTTAAGACCCATACAAATTCTGGATAATAAACAATCAAATAATTGTTAACAATCAAAGCTCAGAGAAATCATAAATTTTAAAAAACGGCAATTGTTTCTGTGGTTTAAAAATGTTCATATTATGACGAATGTTTTCGGGATTCTTGATTTTTTTTATGGAAAGTTATTTCTGTGGTTGAAAAAAATTCATATTATGATGGATGTTTTTCGGATACTTGAAAATTTTGTTTTTATGAAAAGTTGCGTTGAAAGCCTGATTTTTTTTACTTTCTGTGTACGTCGCGCATTTTAATGTGCCTGCTGCAGCACCTGCTGCACCACCCTCCTCGCACCACTTCTCTTGCACCACTTTTCCTGCACCACCTCCACCATTCGCATTTTCCCTCGCTGTCGATTTCAATTGTTTTCGATTTCGCTTTGTGCTCGACGGTCCTTTTTTTGTTCTGCCATTTAGCTTGTTGTTGTAGCTGTTATTGTTGGACTTTCAGTCGTTGTTCAAATTGTCATTTGAGTGCAGTTGTTGTACACACATTGCTGACAATGCCAAAACGTTCGGCAGGATGCTGTGTGATCCATAAAAAATGCAGGCACCGAAAGCCTTCGGTGTTTGTCTTTCGACACCATCAAAGTTCTTTCGTCGACTTCCATTTATTCAAATGAAACACTTCCCTGCACACAACCGATCTCGGTCACATTATTTATGCGTTCTTAAACAATTTTAAGAGGTCTTCGGCAAGCACTTTGCTCACTGCCAGTGCTATAAATCTGATCAATCTGGGGATCTGGCCGGCATGTGTGGAAAGGTCGAGCAAAGCTAAAAGCTTTCATAAATTTAGGGCGCTTTAGATGGTACAAGGTGATTCTAGATGGAATATGGGAGATTTAAGATTGCTCTGAGCAGATTACAATTTGCTCGGACTTTCCGACGATGGAGGTTACAAGTGGCTCGCAGTTTTAGTTGCACCTTGCCACAAAGTGTCCAGAAAATATGAGGCACAGAGCCATCACACAGGAAGTAAAATAAATTGCACGTAAAATTTATGCATAGACTGTCAGCCTGACGCTCCTTGTTTTTGTGTGTGGGGGTTCTGTGGGCCGTACTATATATTTTTTCCTTGCCATTTTTTGGCTTTGGCTAGCAAAACAAGTCCAACCAGGCAAACGAAATGGAGAGCCATTCTGGGCCACATGCCAAAAACAGAGTCTGTCTGTCGGCCCCTTTCCCTTCCAGCTCTTCTGTCTCCATCTTCATCTAACTTGGTGTCATTGTAGCGTTCCAGTGACGACTGTCAGTCCGTTCGACTGACTGGATGACTGACTGGCTGACTGACGCAATGACTGACTGACGGAATGACTGACTGGGTGACGGGATGTCTATTCCACTCGGCCAGGCGCATGCATTTGCTGATGCATAGCCAAAAACTAAAGTGGGAAATGGTGGGAAAAAAGGTTGAAAGGGAATGGGTACACAACAAAAAAAAATGTTTTTCAATTGAATTTGTATTCTTTTTTTTGTATTACTCTACTATACCAAAAATGTGTTACATTTTACTGATAAAAACTGCAATTCAATTTACTAAAATGGTAATTGGAATACAAAACATATTTTTTTCAATCCTTTAAATTGGTATAATAAAACATACAACTCTTGTCAAACCAATAAAAAATGCTTAACTTTTTGCCCTCTTTTTGGTAAAATTATTTTTTTCTTTCAAAAATATGTATAAATCTCTTATTAAAATCTTGATGATACTAAAAAACACCTAGCCTTCCAAAAATATTTGTTTAGCCACAAAAAAAATACGCTGTCTGAAAAGCATTCTTTTTTTTAAGTGTAAAAGCCAAGCATCTGCATTTGCATCGGTCTGCGCCCATTAGGCATTGGTTCCCATACATTTGGTTTATTTTTTTTGGGGCTTGCACTTTCTGTGGCGCTGAGTGAAATATCTTCGAGTGAATGAATAAAACTGCGGCTGGCTGGTGGAATCTGTCGCTCTTTCTGTTTCCATAGCTGTGTGCTCACTTTGTTACACCAATTTGTGCGGCTGTTGTGCTGGATTATAGTTGCATTTATGTGCACATGGAATTATTGATTTGGCCGCCAGCCAAATGCAGCCTCGCAATTGCAGGCGCCCCACATCTGAGAAGAGATTCTCTCGTCGAAGGAGTGGATAAGAGGTTTGCCGAAATATTAAAAAGGAATTAAATTAATGTGCTGCCAACGTTCGACGACTGCAACGCACACACACACACACACATACACACTTGTTGACCCCAATTTTGATTGCCAACGCACAACAATGGTGGTCTGGTGCTCCGAAAGGGATTTCGGGCCACCTGACTCTTGACACATTTGCACACTGCACTGATGTTCGGCATTGGCAATGCAATGCAGCCGCAAATGGAAATTTGCGAAATTATTTCAAGTTGAATGGCCATAGACGTCGCAGGCGGACACATCCATTCAGGGAGCATAATAGATGTTTGCCCAGCTCAAATTCTTGTTTGCACAGCTCATGCATTTCTATGAGCTCGTCGAGTGTGAAAAGTGTTTGGAAGACTGCGGCGGGTTCGGGTTGACGGGTTGCCAGGATTCTGGGGCCTCTGGGATTGGGGTCTTTGGGTTCAAGGGTGCTCGAGAAACCAAACGAAACGAAACCAAAATGCGTAAATTGAAATTGAGAGATTCCATCAAATTCACAGCCGTTCATTGCTTTTGAAATGAGCTACAATGTTCGTTACTTTTTTTTTTTCAAACAAAAAATGCAAAAAAAGAATGGGAAAGGAGTAAGCTAATGGGAGGGGGTAGAGCTGCCAAACTATCGATTGTCAATCCGATAGATATTTTCGAACAAAAAAATTTTAACAGTGAAAGTCAGAACCATTTCTTTAAATAAAAAACTATAGAGCTTACTCAATACCTTTGATAGCAGAAACAATATGCTAAATGCGTAGGCTAAAAATGCGTTAATTTGAAAGTTAAGAACCACAGTTTAAATAATAAAGTTAAAGTTCCTAAAAAATTACTTTACAAATAATTTTAAGATGGATTTTATATATTTTTCCTTTAATTTTTCAAACGAAAGAGACTTTAAAGGCCATCGTATCGGAATAAAGAAACAATAGATCGATAGTTCTGCAGCTCTGGGATGGAAGGCTTTGGGATTTCGGGACTGGTGGCTCTGCCAAAACGAAGCAAATCTAACGCCTGTAGTGCTGATACATGCCATGACCATAGCCCATGGGTGTGCTGCCCATGGCACGTTCGGTTGCCTTCTCGATGCTGGCGTAAACGCACCTGTAACAGCACACGTAGGCCAAACATCACTTGAACAGGATGCGCCGGAAGGCGCGTCGGAAGTCCTTGTTGAAGATGGTGTAGATGGCCGGATTGAGGGCCGAGTTCATGTAGCCCAGCCAGAAGGCGACGGCGAACGCCGACTCCGGTATGTTGCAGTGGCTGCTACAGGCCGGCACCAGGATGTACAGGAAGAAAAACGGCAGCCAGCAGGCGATGAAGCTGCCCATGATCAGGCCCAGGATCAACGTGGCCCGCTTCTCCTTCTTGCGCGCAATCCGCCGCTTCTCCTTCTCGGGATCCCGTGGCTTTGGGGTCTTCGGAATGGCCGGCTCCAGTTCCGCCTTCACCACCTGCTGCTGCTGCTGTTGAAGCTGAAGCTGATTTTTCCCAGCCGTCGTCGCCGAGGCGGCGGGATGTTGGTTCTTGGCCGCCGTTTTGGCCTCGTTGCGACGCTGCTGATTGCTGGACTTGCGCCCGAAGATCGGCTGGCAAAGGCGAAACTTGAGCGGCTTGACCACGGCACAGCGACTGACCACGCCCGAATCGCTGCTGGATGGATCGAATTCACTCACCATGTCCGTGTCCACGCCCACGGAAAGAGCTCGACACCGTCCGGCGATCGGCGAGACGCGCAGCTCATTCCCGGAGGCTTGCAAGCCACCCGGAGCCGCTCCTGTACTTCCGTTGCCACCACTGGTGGGTGGTGGTGCCCCGCCATCCAGGGCCACGCTGCCGTTGTTGTTGTTCAGCGCGTTGATGGAGTTGTTGCTGCCCATAGACGGCGGCACGGGCACATTGAGGCCCACCCGCCCGGTGGCTATCGTGCTCACCTGCAACGTTTCCTTGGGCGAACTGGGCGTGGCACAGGTGGCGCCGCCGCCACCTCCATTCCCGCTGCTCACCACAGTGACCGCATTCGTGCCGGATCCGTTGGGATTGGCGTAGGCCAGCACCGTTTGCGCGGCCACCGCCTCCAGCTCCCCGGCCTCCGAGGTGGAGATGTCCGAGGCCAGGTCCATGGTCACCGTGGGTATCTGCATCGGCATCGTGGCGCTGTTCGGTGGTGTCTCGATGGTGGCTATCTGCCGCTGCTGGTGCAGCTGCAACGCGGCCGCGCCGCTGGAGGAGGGCATCGGTATTGTTTTCTTGGCGGTGGTGAAGCTCGTTACCTGCAGCGAAAATGTCAAGGATGAAGAAACTTTAATTCAGAAAGAAATTTAAACATCATTTTTAAGGTTAAGAATAATTAATAATTTATTCATAAAATAATCCTTATTTTTTATATTCACCAACTAACATGAATTTTTAATTGTTGGAATAAATTAATATATTTTAAATAATTTTATACATTTTTATAAGTTTTAAATATTCTTATTTAAATTTTTCTTCATTAGGGAACGATTTTTATTTTTGTTATTTTTCCTGAGCATTCAGATCTCATGATTTTTAAAGTGTTTCTGTGTGATAAACAGTCGCACATGCTCAGGCATTGCAAATTAGGTTGCGGATCTGCCAGCCGTGCAAGTGCAGCTAGCATCGAGAACAGGGACAGATGGCCCAACACTTGCTACAGCAGTTTTCCATTTCGAAAATCCTGTTTAAGCCAACTGGCAGTAGAAACGCGTCCGAGCGCGCGGATTACACAAACATGGAGCGCTGGCTGTTGCCGTGGAATGGATCGTGGGCAAAGGGGCAAAGCCGGGGGCTCTGCATATTCAATGCTCGGAAAGCAGCAACAATTACCCCGGGCAATTAACAGAGACACAGAGCGCCCCACCGAAAACGAAAATAAAATAAAAGAGGGACGTGCATCGAGAACATAAATACCCTTGAATTAAACGAAATTTCTTATTGCATATTTTAAACACAAAAATTACTTTCATATCCTTAGGTGTAAATATTTTGAATTGTTGTCTCCACACAGTGATTAAATGAAGGAAACAAGGTATTCTTGATTCAAAATAGCGAATAGGTACAAGCAGTTATCTAGACTTAAATTTTCTTGCATAATTATTTAAAAATGTTCATCTTGATGAACTACATTACATATATTTTAGCATAATTATTAAGCACACTGAAAGTATTACTTAGTTTTTGGGCTTTTTTTTTGTCAAAAAATAGCGTGGGAAATTGTTACCTTTAAATGTAATTTATTTCGTTATTTCTTAAAGACTTTTATCTGAAACTTTTATCTTCCCAGCTGTCATACCCTCGTAATGGGTATAAGAACAATGCTTGAAGCAAATCGCGCTGTCAGCATATGTGTGAGAATCTCCCCGCTGTTTTCCCTGCTTTCTGTTTTTCCTCCTCTTTCTCTGCTTGTTTTCCCACTGCCAACGCCCCTCCGCAGCTCCCCGTTTTCCGTGTCCGTTAATCGCTCGTTTGGGCCGCTGCTCTTGAATTTGTTTGCACAAAATGGTCGAGAAGTGTCGTTGATATTGCCAGCACTGTCCAGACGGCAATGTTTCCAACCACACTCGCTGCATTTTCATTTTTTTTTTCTCGGCCGTGTGCATTGCGCATACAGTTAATTGAAAATGCAAATTGCGTATAAATTGGTCGGCAAGCACATTGGCACTCGTTGCGGCAGGTAATTGACGATCATTAGAGACTTTTCACTCAATCAGTGGATTTTGGGGCGGAGCTTCGATTAAATTTGCAGCGATAATTTTCCAACAAAGGCCGTTAAGAGCGGGTGTGTGGAGTCAGCAAATGCCATTGGTTTGAATGGCCCTGCATAATGCCCCTGCTAACGTGGCCAACTGGTGCAGCGGCCAAAATTGCAACGTTCGCAAGCTGCAATGCCTGATGGCTCGGCAAAAGGAATGGGATTCCATACGACACGTAGCCCACAAGTTGTTGATGGAAAATTGAAGCGAAGCATGTGTGCTCAATTTGCAGCTTCCTGGGGTAATGCACAATTACTTTTGCCCAAAAATCCCAGGGAAAGGTGAACAAATATTACACATACGCCGCATATGCCGCACTCGGTTAGAAGAATTACATTTGTCCATTGAATCGTAAAAATTCCAATTTCCATGCCTGACACATTTTGCGGCCAACCGCATTAACCGCCCGATGTGCAATTGGGGAGAGCTTTCGTCAGAGTTCATTAGGCAGCGGGGACATGTAGTACTATATGCACATTTGGCCGGGCCAAAAATCATAAATAATAACTAAATGACGTCCCCAGTGATTCACTCACTCTCGTACTCACTCACTCACCTGTTCGTTGTTTGTTTTGCGGGGATGCTTTTTAATGCCTCTCCTCGCCCGCGCCTTGGCGGCAAAGTAAATTCGTATGTACACAAAGACCATAATGCAGCTGGGGATGTAGAAGGAGCCCAGTGCCGAGTAGAGCACGTAGCCGATGTCCTCGCTCAGCTGCAACAAAAGAAAAGGGTGCAGGTTAGACGGTTATCGGTGTGGGCTAAATGGACTTGCTCAAATGGGCGACAAAGGTGATGTCAGCAGTGTCGAATGTCATGTCAAAGGTCCCAATGAACGAGTAGGGGAGAGTGGGGTAATGTCGTCAGTGGGGCAAAGTCGTCACTCGCTATTATCTTAAAAAATATAAGGGCTACCAACCCAATTTTTTTAGCGTAAGTGTATTGCACTATTCCTACATTACCGACGGAGTTTGGTAGAATTATAGGTTATGTGTAATTATTTATTCATCAGAAAGTGTTTCGGAGCCTCAAAAGTAATTTTTCTCCGGCGCAGAACTTTTTTTTCTTCCAAGTACATTTTTGATTAAAGAAGTATAAAGGTGAGTTATTATTGATGAGAAATGTTTGGCGAACACGAGATGGTAGGTTGTGTAACACCTGATTCGAGTTTCGATTTGTTATTCATGTTTTTATCAAAAAATGTCGCGTGGGGCATTGTCGTCACTCAACGGGTGGGGCAAAGTCGTCACTGTATTATCTCAGACTGAAATACAAACTCGTATCAATTTATTATTGTTTTGTGATTGTTTATGTAAAGTATTAAATATAAAATATAATTTCTCTAAAATGTTCTTCAAAAAAAATAAAATTCTAAAAAAGAGGTCGCCCAAAGAAAAATCTTTAAGAAATTCTGATTTTTGCTTTCTATCCTTCACTTAGATCTGAATGTGTCAAATTTTTGCAAAAAATAGGTATTGTGTTCTACTTTTTTATATGTATGAATATCAATAAATGTGTGTTTGACAAGTTGAAATAGTTTTGTGCACATGGATACCTATATTTGCATTCATTATTCTATGTGACGACTTTGCCCCAGGGGGGTGACGACTTTGCCCCACGATTTTTCAATTTTCCAATTTTGCCTTCTTTCAGATAACAGTTTCGTATTAATAAACAAGTGAGAGGATGTCCGAAATACTTACTGCATTTTATAGCCAGATCTTTTCCGAATCCAACCATGTATATTACATGATAAAAATAAGTTATTTTATCAACAAATTACGCAATTAAAAAAAAGGGACGACAATGCCCCACTCTCCCCTAATTAAAAAGTAACCAAGGCATCGCGGTCATTAAAGGCAGGTTACGTGAAATCTTTTACACCGAAAATAATTATTATAACCGCCCTTTCATCTTTAAAATAAACTAAATCCGATTCCAATGCCAAAGACTAAGACCACATGTGAATTTTTAATGCTTGTTTAAAATGCCATATTTGTTCAGCTATTCTGACTTATACAATTGAAAGAGCTGACTATTGTGCAGCCACATTTCTCTATAAATAATTCTCAAAGCTAATAACAAACAGTGATTTGTTTGCTCACTTTTATTCCAATACTTCTTAAAAGCAATAAAAAGAATTTATATTGAACGTTATTTATGCATGACCTTTTACTGATTTTTGACTGCCGCTTATAAAAGAACTTTGCCCAAGCTTAATTGTTCTTTATCGACATCTACAGGATGTATTGATTGCGTGCTTCCACATGGTCCCTATTAAATTAAACCCTATCTGCCATCACTTAGCAAGCTTAATTTTTCCATTCATTGGGTTTCTTGAACTTGACTCAAGGCTTTTGTTGCAGATTATGGAGCATTAAGTTAACCAAGTTACCTCAACTATCGCTTGGCAGATTAAATTTACGACGTAACATCCTTTGCTTTGTATCTCTCTTTTCTCCATATTTCTGTATCCTTTTAGCCGGGCTTGTTGCTTTCGGCCATATTTTCTGGCTTGATAGTGGGGTCATTGAGTGCATTAGGCTGATTTACTGAAAAATGCATTTAGCCCTTTCTGCCTGGCCGAAAATATTTTTGCATGATGCTGCCTTCTATCGTTGATTTTGCGACCCGGGTTCGTTTTTCCGGAGCATTTATGTGAAAAATGCAAAGTGCATGAAATTTCATAACGTTAAATGAAGTAAAAGTATTAGATTACCGCACCGCACAAAGGGCTTCTTCCACCTGCCAGCAAAAACTTTTTTGAGGCTAAATTGTGTGGCAGATTTTCCGGTAGTAGCAATTGCATTTTATTAAAGCTGGCGGAATTAAATCGTCTCATACTTTCTGCTCTTGGTTCTACCCGACCAAATTAAGTGTTTTGATGAAAGGCATTCGAAAAAGTGCACTTGACAGGAGGAGGAGCAGCAGGTTGGGGTTGGGTTTCTGATGTTGATGTTGAGAAGGGATTGCCTGAGCTGCTTTGCCCTTTTCAGTTGCTGTTCGTGTTGTTCGCCGGCGAGTGGCGTGCATAATGAAAAGCTTTTGTCCCGTTGTTACTGCCACTGCTTGTTGCCCACCTCAATCCTTACTCAGCGCTCCCGGAAAATGCATAATTCTACACTTTCGGAAAATCCCTCAAGTATTGGAATGCTACAAATCACGTTCGACTTAAGAACGCTCTTTTTAAATATCTAATTCTTGAGGTTTGGGATATAGGGATATATGGATAGGGATATTTGGTATATAGTGTGGATTTGGAGCACTCAAAATAGAGATATTTGTTTTCCTCCTCGAGAAAACTCGCATTTTTATGTAATACGAAATTAGCAATGTCGTAATAATATATTTCAAAAAACTAAAACTAAAAACTGGCATACTTTGAAATACCTGGAACCCAGAAATTACTTTTCTGGCTTTCACATTTTTCAAACTATTTAGTACAAAGGCTTAGGTTTTTTCATACATCATTAAAAGATTAATGACAACAATATTGTTCAAACGAGACGACATATTTAAATATACGACCACGTTGGTGTCAAAAAATGCCAATAAAACTGTCGTACATTTTAATTTCATATGACAATTTTTGTCCAGTGAAGTCATCTTTTTGCTATAGACTGGCATCGGAAATCTGTACCCGACATCAGTTGGTCAACTTAAGCTTCCTCCCACTGGCGAACTGCAGTAGCCGGTTAAGAAATCGAGCAGCAATTTATAAAAAATTCTTTACGTACTTTTTACACGAGGATATCTGGGGAAAGAAGCTCGGGCCCAAACGAAATTTATTTAAGTTTTAAGCTGCTTACACTCACATGCAGGCAGGCAAATTGAATTGCCGGGGAGCAAACTGTAAATACGAGCACATAGCTGGGGCTCGAGCTGGAGCTGGACTCGCATGCGGATGCAGCTTAAGTGCAGACCAGTTTATCATAAGCCGCAGGCGAAGTTGCAGCAGAAACAGGCTGAGCTAGACAACTTTATCCTGCTGCCAAAGCAGAATACAAATTTGCCAGCCTCCCCACGTTCCACGTCGTCCTTTCCCGGGAATTTCCGGGTTGTGGCAACAAAATAAGCATAAAGTATTAAGCGCCGGGTATAATGTTGCCGAAATATACATCAAGTGGCAGGTTGAGACGAGCGGCAGAACCGGAGCAGCGAGCAGCGGTTCCGAGGAGATGAGTAGAGCCACCAACAGCTACTTAAGCTGGATTCCTGAATGCTGACGCTGCTGCCAGCCCGGCTGTCTCGGTTTTCAACTTATTGCCTGCCACAGAGCCTGCACGCAAACTGCACTCAAACAAATGTTTTTGGGAACTTGGTAATTCCTAGTTGTGACAACTTGATTAAGGCAGTTATGTATTTACCATCACGATTTGTTAGCTAACTGTTAAAGATAGTTCAATACATATTAATAAAGTAGAAATATAGTTCTGAGAAGCTCTTAAAAATATCTTAGCATTTTAAAGGTTAACTGTTTGTAACGTTTATAAAGTTTAAAATTTTTCATTGTTCTATTTATTAATAAAATAACCAGAAATCAACATGTTTAAAAAACTAAAATAATTTTAAAATCTCTTCTTGATATGTATAACAATTCTTGGGATCATATATCATATCATATATTTATTCTGATCAAAATTTTACCGTGAAATATATAATCAATAGTGGATTAACACAGGATTGAATAGGCAAACATTTTTTTTTTCGTGTAGAAACTGCAGTTGCACAAAATAAACTTCGTTTCGGCTGCTCTTGCAGCAGCATTATAAATGGTCTCATCATTTACGGTTTTCAGTTGATATATTGACAGCATTTGTCAGCGTTTCACACGGAACCGAAGCGAACTGTAATCGCACCGCCCCGAACCACAGTTGAGTTTTGTGTTCTGGGCCAAACGAGTTTCGGTGGCATTAAAGCCAAAGTTGGCCAAAAACTTTTGTCGGTAGGCCGAAAAGTTGCGCATACGCGACGTGGGCACGTGTGTGCACGTAGCTCAGGAAACACCTGTAGCAACAGCGGGCCGAAAGTTTTGCGCACTGTGATAATGATGTTGGGCCGACCGGCAGGAAAAACTGGGGAACAATATTTTATTAACGCATTTGAACAAAGCTCTTAAACTGACATTTGTGCGGGCCAAGAACGTGTTAGCCAAGCAGGAAACTAGTGGGCGAACAAATAAATTGTCAACTGTGCGTGACGATAACTTTGTGCAGCGGATTTAATGTAATTGAAAACTTCACTTTGTCGCTGCATTTCCCCTCCAGTCCGCTGGTCTGTTTTCCCTCCTTTCAACCATTTCCATTTCCATGCACCTTGGATGCTTCCTTCAATCCCACTATCCTGCAATCCTGCAATCCCCCAATCCCCTCAATCCATCCGCAAGCTGCATTTGTGCTAATTTGCTGATTTTCAAATTGCAGAGGGCGCCTTTGTTTATTTAAAAGTTTTTCCACGCGCTCGCCGAAGAACGAGCGTGCGAAAGCAGAGAGAGAAAAGCCAAGCAAAACAAGTAGCAAGGAGCAAGGCGAAAAAGAAAAATAATTATTCTGCAATTTTTAATTAAATGGCAATGGTAATTGTTGTTGCCGCTTTAGCTTCAGCTCCTACTGCTGCTGCTGCTGCTGCTGCTGCTTCCTCTGCATTGAGGAACTTAAGCTGACGGAAACAAAAACTCATTATGCGCCACCAAATTCGTTAGTCGAGCAGGAGGAG